TGTTTTTTTATGGAAAAGTATTTACATTTAAAACAATTAAAATCTTTTCAGAGTATTATGTGTCCATAAAAATGAAAGAATTCATTAGTAAGATCAGTTTTATGTTATAATATTTGCATATAAGTTTTCTTCATTAGTTTACGTAACATGCTACTAATACAGGATATTAGGTATGTTTCTTTGTAATATCAATACTAAAAAATTCAATATTTTTTAAAATAGATAATATATTATGCCATAAATTATTGTAAACATTATGAAACCGGCATCTAAGAGAATCATACTTTATGTCTCAGCATCGTCCATTAGGTTACACTGAAATGATTGGCCTTAGAGGAAGCGTGCCGAATCTCTGTTCAACTACAAGTATGACTCAGATGGGGAGTTACTCACCGTTTTGTTCTGCATTTTATAATATGAGGTCTTTTTTGTCGTTTGTTCTGTTTTTTATTATTTTTGCATTCATATTCATTGACATTCTGATATGGTTATATAGCCTATGTGCAAAAAATCATAATTGTCAAGAAAATACTAAAGAACACAAAGGGAACCAAAGCAACCAGTCTTTTGACGCAGGAACCAAAAGACCTTTCAGAAACAGAATAGATTGTGAACAAAGACTTAGGTCACAAACAGACCTTTTCTTAAGAAGGAAAGAATCCTTTAACTGTTGTTCATTACAATATTTTCAAATTTCACGAAAATGGAAAGAGTATCTAGTAAAAACTCAGGTATATTTATCTATATTTGTAACAACGATTTATATATAACATTATATATATAACAGTTCGTTTAAAAAAAATTTATAAAGATTATATTCGAATAATAATCACAATGTGTATGTGATACAATAATAGCAGCTTTATATTGTTTGTAGTAGATTGTATTCTTTAGATATACATTATATGAGAGAAACGTATTTATTGTTAATACCCACCATAATTCATAATTACATAACATTAATTTAGTGCATACTTTAATGTTATAGGAACGTTTAAGGAAGTTAGAAGATGAACGTGCAGCCTTACGAATGGAAGTATCAGTTTTATCGGAGCAAGTGGAAGCACAGTCCAATAAAATTCAAGAATTGGAAACTATGCTTAGAGAAAAGAAAGATTCTCTTAGAAGAATGGAAGAAGTGTTACAGAAAGTAATTTTATTCACTTATACTTACTACTGTGCTATTATATTCTTTTAAGATTCTATGAGTTAAAATTATTTTGTATCAAATTATCTTATTTGTTGAAAGTAAGGGATTTTGATATTTTATCTTTAAAAGGGCATATATCACTTAAAAATATGTAACATGTGCTGTATAATATTACATATATATAATATCAAATAATAGTACACGCTACAGTCGGCAAATTTAATAATATTATTTCATAAATTTTACTCGAATTTCGCTTGTATATACATTATTTAAAAGTTATGAGGCGTTTAATTATTATTTTTGAGGATATAAAGTCACGTATAAGGGGTTTTTATGGTTGCCTACTGTGTTACTATTTCTATATTATTTTTATTTTGTCATTAGAATATTTAAATGTATTTTCATTCTTTAAGGAAATGCTTTCGCGAAGTGCTCTGGAAACACAAAAATTGGAGTTACTGAGCTCCTTATCAGAAATGAAGCTGAGACAAGCTAGTTTAGAACATGAAAATCTTGCACTTCGCAGTACAAGTCCTGTCTTAAACGTAAGTTAATTTAAATATAGTAGTAGTAATAAAATGTTCATTTCAATTACTTGTATAAAAGTATAAAAGTATATTGAAAATCCCATTTTCTAAACAAGGTCTTGATATAAAGGACTTAATTGGATGAGATAGTCAAATCTGTTCTTTAACCGATTTCAATATATGTATAACACATTTATTCAATAGCTCAAATTAATTTTATATCGTATTGAATATAAGTAATGTTAATAAGGCACTAAATAATTTTAAACATTACTACATTCAGAGAAGCAAAATATAAGTACAAGAAATTAAAATTTAAAATTAACAGTATGAGGAAGTACGTATGTAAGTGTTTGTGTGAATGAATTGAAGAAATTCTACTTTGTAGTTAAGTTTATTTGCCTTAGTTATTGCAAGGAGAATTATACCCAAACATGACTGCCGCTAGAGTATCGACTCTACCATTGCGTAGCCTTGCTGACGAATCGGATCGTTTCTGTAGTCCTGTCGCGCTCTCTTCTTCGCAATTTTCATGTCGCGTCCTTTTTGAAGAATTTGGCCGCGACTACAGAATTTTGACTACATAACGGGATTTTCTTCGTGTTTACTCAGCGCGAGTGAGGCCACAAAGAAGATGCGCGGTATGCTCAAAACACAAAAGAAAAAAAAGACACTGTATATTTTTGCCCTCATTGTAATGCAGGACTTTGTTTAGTGGTAGTTTTTATAAAACTTATAGTATAAGCAAAGGAACCGGTGTAGGTTGATTTCCGTTCTCAAAAAAATATCCAGAAGAATATGTTTCATATTTTTTCCTCAACAATAATTTTATTTTTTAAATGGTTGTTACGATCCCATTATTTCTAACAATATCATTAAACATGACAGTAGTTTCTTATTTAGTATAAGTACACATTTTTAAATATTTCGTGGATTAATGTTCCATTAGAACATAAAATTATTTTTATTAAATTATAGCATCAACTATAATAGTCGTACGAAGTACATTTCAAATTAATCGGTCAAATATAAATTTTGAAATATCTAGGCAAATTAAGGCATCTTGACAAGTATGCGTGGTCCTGACCATAGTCTTCTGCAAGACCATCAGTTAGTTAGTATTGTGGAGATTAAGATAACGTTTAAAGAAATCAACGTTTTTGAATTTTTTTTCACTACAGACGTATTTATTGCAGGGAGAGAAATTCGGAAGGCATACCAGCCAATATAGTAGTCTCCCTAGGCCCCTGAGTTCTTCAAAGAAAGGCGTAGTGTTCGGTAAGGTTCCCAGTTTAGCTTCTGGAACACACACAACAGTACCATTGGCCATTAGAGGAGCCTCCGCGAGATGTCTGTCTGCGCCTACTCTAGGTTGCGATTTTTCTCTAGGCATGCATTATCAAATGTTTTACAAAAATGCATTTATCGTTTATTCTTTTTATGTGACAGGCAATCATGACCAATAACTTAATATTGATTTTAAGCTAGTAGTTCGTCAATCAATAAAGGGTCTAGCCGATTAAGGTGGTCAAAATTGCTCTTGGAGGTTTTTTACTAAGTATTATACCGTTTGGTAGCTGACCATGAAAAACTTATCTAGGCAAAATTTCAACCCTGTAACTTGCCCGTGAGGATAATTACAGGGTAAATTAGATCTAGGCGTTTTTCCGCCCATTTTCTCCTTCGGTGATCTTTTAAAATTTTGAAAAAATGTGGTTTATTTCAGACATCAAGCCGCATATTATAGAATTTTTTCAGATTTTTCGGTTGCAAGCTGTGGTTATAAAAAGTGGAAAACTCCCCCCAAAAATCGGAAAATTGAAGATATCTCGAAAACAATGAGTTTTTCTTGATCAATTATCGAACGGTATAATAGTCATTAAAAAACCTCTAAGGGCAAAATTGACCATCTTAATCGGCTAGGCCCTTTGTTTTATAAAGCCGCTTCTTATTTACTGCATGGGAAATTTGTATGTATTCCTGGCTTCAGAAAATAATATGTATTTCACTTATATTGTAGAATATCATTTATATGCAACATCAAATAATCTAATCATTCAATTGATGACATTATCAAAGAATATTGATCAGCCTATTAACGTTATTTTCCTTTTTAATATTATATTCTGCTATTACGGAAACCTACCGTCATAAGAAAAACATTAACATCTACTGTAATATTTTCTAATTGAGCTTTTTTTGTATCTTCTTTAGCTGAAGAAGAGAAGAACGTTATTATAGAAAGCTCAAACTGCCGATTACAAGTAATCACACAGAAGCCTTTGATAGAATTATCAATGGAAGAAATTAAAGGATGGCTCACAAATTTAGGATTAGAATGTTATACATGTGAATTGAGGCGGTGGGGCGCCACTGGGGCAAAATTAATTGAATCTTCTCCTCAACAAATCGAAAAGGAATTAGAAATTAAGAATATTCTTCACAGGAAGAAGTTATTGTACGCGATAGAGTCGGAAAAATCTGATGGAGTTGATTTTCTTGGATCTGATAAGGTGACCATAAAGTTGTGATTACTAATTTGATTTGTCTTTTCAATTCTTTACTTTACTTTCTTTATATATAGAATATGAATTGTAAATATTTATTTAATTATAGATGGATAATGCTGCAGTTTTACGATGGCTTGATGATATAGGTTTACCACAACATAAGGAGGCATTTCAGAATGGTAAAATTGATGGAAGAATGTTACACAGATTGACTACTGAAGATTTATTAAATCTTGGAGTGAATGCACAATTACATGCTGCAAGCTTAAGACGAGGCATTCAGGTACCTTTTATGACATATACTTGCAAAGACTGTATCAATTAATTGCATTGTAGTAAAGTAAAGACTCAGCCAACTGTACGGACGGTGATCATTTTAAAACTATCAGATTTACGGATTATTGATATTTTCAACACAGATGCTATTTCTTCCATTTCCTTTGTAAAACTATATGCATAATGAATAGTACTTTGCTCATGGTACCAAATAATCTAGCAAAAAAGACATATATTGAATTTATTTTAAAAGTCAATGATTGTTTGTCGTATCTCCTAAACTGATAATATGATGAACAAAATCTTCTTTTACTAAAAAGTTTTTATACCATTTAATTTGTACTCAAAAGATGTTATAATTTCATAAGACTTATACAACGCTTTACTGTGCGGGTGTTAAAGATACACTAACATATTGATAATTTTTACTTTTCTAAAGGTCTTGCGAGAATTAAATTTTGAGTTTGATAATCTTGAAAGAAGATCAACAAATGGTAATGGAGCCGATGGTGATAATATTCATCTTTGGACTAATCATCGAGTAATGGAATGGTTGAGAGTAGTAGATCTAGCAGAATATGCTCCTAATATGAGAGGATCTGGGGTACATGGTGGTTTGATGGTGTATGAGGGAAGATTTACTTCTGAATTATTAGCTGCATTACTTAGTATTTCTCCTGGAAAAACGCTTCTTCGCAGACATTTGACCACACACTTTAATCAAATTCTGGGTAGAGAAGTTGTACAAAGAAAAAGAGAAATTGAGAGTACTTTAGGATTTGTGCCACTAACGCTTACTGCTCGCTTAAAGGTATGTAAATTTCTATATGTACTTAAATACAGAAATGTGACAATTACAATGAAGCTTGTTAATACACAATTTAGATACCAAAAAAATCTCAGTTTACATTGAAACGTAAAAAAAGCAAAAACGAAGTGGATTATGGTAATTTGGTATGTCCGTTGGAAGCTTCACCACCAGGTACTCCATCAACACCTGTTTCGACTCCAAGCAGTCCAAACTTGAATTCACCCATATTCTAACGAGGATCACACATTCATAATATTGTAAGTTTCATTCTACTATATTTGAACAATTCTTGTCATTGTGGTATATCTTTCTTTAACGAAATAATTTATTAAATATGCTCTTTCATATTATTTTACGTGTCTTCAAAACTTTTGATGAAATTATGACCATAAAACGAAGAAAATAAATTCGTTAAGTTGACTAAGTAAGATAGAAATTCATAGCTTTATCTATGTTGTGTTGCTATTAGCAGATTATCAGTTTAAAGGTTGCATTTGGAATACATTTTTAAGAAGAAGGGCAATTTTCTTGTTGGATTGTGTACAAGCAGTAACTTCTCTAAACTCTTTTAATATCTCTCATAAATTATTAACATTTATACATTTGTAATAATTCCTAATACAAAATAATGATATAATAAACGAACTTGTCATAGATTGTTGTTCAATTATTTATTAAATCATTTATATTATTGATGCTATATAATTTACAAGGTGTTGAAAAAGGGGTTATATATTTTACGGGCAACCAGTACTTATGAGATACAAGAAAGAAGTGATGCTGCATACTGGATACTTTCTAAGTGTTCAGTTATGTGGTAACATTTTTATTTTGTTAGCTTTTGCCTTATTTTTTCCATTTAATAGCGTGCAAACAACCGAACAAAATCTAATATGTGTTAAATACATGCCGGATACATATCTTATAATTAAGCTGATAACTATACTTACATAAAATGAAAAAAAAAGCAAAAACCATATTGACGACTTCATTATTTTTTACGGAATAACGACATATTGTTATAAGTGTCACGTTTTAATTTTTTTAGTTCTTTAAGTAAGACGAGACATTGTTAAAAATATAATTAGTAGATAACATAAAAAGTTTCTCAATTTAAAAGCTAAATTAATTACGGCTTAATCTCTTGTTGATTTTTCGATATTCATAGACAAAGATGCCAAGCAGCGTTCCATAGCCAAAATTCAATTTCTTAAGTTTAATATATATTGAGAAAGTTTGGTTTGCTATAAACTGAGACGATTTTAAAGCTCCCAAATCCAAAATGTTATTCGTTTTAGATAATTCTGTGCTAAGATACGGCGTTCTAAATACAAAATCGTAAAATCCAAAGTAAAATTGTACGTTTTGCACACTACTTATATGTCCAATATTAGTAAACAGATATTACCACCTCAATTTTTATCATTATTATTATATCTAGCAAAGAATGTTTATATCCAGAGTGCCCCTTAGAATGTGGGATCCACTTCAGGAATAGATTCTACACATAAAAACAATGAAAAAATCTTTATATAAATATATGTCTTATTCGATTTTGCTTTCGAGTTATGGGGACGAGTTTCTTCTTTAACATATCGTATTTGCTAATCTTCACGACAAATATTCGAAATGAGCTCTTTGTAATTGAACGCACCGCTGAAGGCGTTTTGAACAAATGGAAAGGGTAAACGTTCCCAGGCTTGTGTTTAAATATAAGGAGCTCATTTCGAACATTTACCTTGAAGACGAGCAAGTACGGTGTGTTGAAGAAGAAACTCACCATAATTCAAGAACAATGTTGGATATGGATGCGTTTTATTATTTTCATGTGTAGAATCTATTCCTGAAGTGGACTCCACATGCTATAAGGACGCTGTAAAGTTGAATGATTTCGGGAGAGGCACATTTTGGTATTGTGGAACAGGACAATTATATCATGCTGGTGGAGAGGGAGAGAATGATACAGGAAAAGGAAAGATGGGAGAAAATAAGAAAATCGAGGTGCAACAAGTGGTAAAAGGCAAGAGAATGCCTGTGAATTTAATGAAAGGGCAAATGAAACATAGATGGAAAAGGGCAGTGAATTTTAGGATAGGTGGAGAGATGAAAGGTGGGAGGTACTGGTTGGAGGAAGAAAGAAAATGCAGAATTTATGGCTGGCGAAGGAGGTGGAAGACGAGTTCGAGTTAAAAACTTCCTGCATTTTAGATAAGAAACACTGTTTTACATATGGACTGTAGTATTTTCAGGTATCGTAGACCATTCACGTTCGGAGATCTCTGTCATTGTATTTCGTGCCACATACACGTTCTGCAAATTACTTAAAGCTGGTGTCAACGATATGTCTGCAAAATGCTTGAACATATTCGAGTTTAAAAGTAAGCGTTTGAGATTCTTCAAATCGTGTGTCCACGTAGGAGGCAGAAGTGCCAGTTTGTTTTCTGACAAATCGAGCTCTTCGAGTTCAGTAAGTTTCTCAAACGTTTTTTCACCGATAGAAGTTATATTATTGCCTCGAAGACTCAGTATTCTTAAGGAAGTTGGTAGCAAGTCCGCCATCTGACTTGGGAGGCTTATATTGTTGTAGCTCAACAACAATATGCGTAGTCGCGATTGCCTTTTAAGGTCTGGTATTTGCGTGAACTCGTTTTTACTCAGACCCAATGTCTCAAGATTGATAGCCCGTTCGAGCATGTTTATAGGTAGATAATCCATCAGATTCTCGGATAAATCGAGAAACGTTAAAGCATGTCGAGAATATGGAAAGAACACTTTTATGTAATTTGCAGTAAAACCACATCTTCTTAACGATACAACTTGTAGATTGTTAGCGTCCCCTGCTATTCTAAAGCCGTCCCTAAGATTGTTTCCGTCGAGATATAAAGACTGTAGGTTGCCCACGCTATACAAATTAAGACTATCTAACCCGCTGTTCTGTAAATGCAAGTGCCGTAATGTGCCCGGTAGATATTCTGTGACAAAATCGAACGCTGCTTGGATATTAGGAATCTGCATCAAAAATAATCTATCAAGCCGAGGAAACATATCTTTGAAAGAAGTTGTAACAGCAAAACGATTGATCTTATTCAAGGAAAGATTTTCCACATTGGGAAAGTACCCTCCCTCGTTGCCTAACTTGTCCTTGATCGGTACACTCAGATCATCCAGGACCAAAGTTCTCGCACTCATATTTTTCAAACTTAGTACTTGGCTTAATGTAATCTCGTTGGATGCCAGATTCAAGCATTCTAAATTTGGAACGCCATTGAATTTGTCGGCGGATATGTCCCTTATTTTGTTGCCTTCTAAATTTATTTGTCTAATGGTGCCGTTCCTAATGAGATCGATTGGAATTTCTGTGTAATTTAAATTCGAAAGTATGAGGCTATCGTCCCCATTGCAGGTTGGGCTTCGAGTCTCTGCGGTTTTGATTAAGGCGTTGTCGATATTTTCGTCGTTACCACCGATCTCGACTACTCGACTTGAGAAGAACTGGGGAATCATCAGTAATAAGATCAACCCGTGCGTCACCACCATTTTCGAATATCTGGAACAAAGGATTTTTGCACAAATCTTACTTATAGTTGATAAGTAAATAAAGTAATAAGTAAATAAAGACGTATCCGCGCGGTGTTTGTAGCCGCAGTTTATTATGGTAAAATGAGAAATGGCGAGAAAGAGAAAAAGTGGAAACATGCTTGATGAACCAGGTTTATCCGAAGTAGATGAACCTTCAGCCAATTAAAGTGCAATACAGCGTTTAACTAACATAATGTAGAATAATGGTCATATTTTATTTTTAAATTATTATTAAATATATTTTATTATATATAGCGGCAATTTTTTTATTACTAAAACCCTTATATTGTATTGTATAAGTAAAACTTCCATATACATATATAGGGTGTTCCATTTAACTTGAGATTGTAAAAGATGTCGTAGACATGTGATTTAAAAAAATATACTGACACATGTCCATTAGTATTTCGAGTGGGGAATCAAATGGTCATTTCATCGTCATCTTGCTTTTCTTATGATAAACCTATATTTTTTATTACGGAATTATATTCCGCGTAAAAATATGCATCACTTTTGTTCGAAACATTTTTTTTCGCTTTTGAAAATGTTTTCTACTTTAAAAAAATTTGTTTAGATATATGTTTTTATAGCATTTTTTACACTGAATTTAAATCCGCAGAAATTAATTTTGTAAATAAATTTTTTGCATAACAAAAAAAATTTTTTTGAAAGAGGTATCATAGCGTGAGATTCATAATCTTATTTCTTCAGTATGGAATACATACAGGGTGTTCTATAATTACTTTAACCGCCGAAAGTGGGGGGATACCTAAGGTCATTTGAAGTAACTTTATTGTTTTTTTATTATTATTATATCGTTGTTTGATTGGAAAGGATGTCGCAAGAGTATTATAATTATTCTTATACGGTGCGAACAACGCGTTTACTCCAAGGATGCTGCAAAGGGTTCAGCAGTACGCGTCTCATAAAAGGATCGGCTCCTTTCAGGGCCATACATATTAACCCAGGAAAATTCATCTGTAAATATTATTGAATAAGTGATCATTGTTTCGTGATAGTGCAGTGAAAGCAAACGTTGGAATAACGTGTCATTATACATCCTTCTGTTCGTCACCGTCGGATACAGATCAGCTGTGCAGTTCATCATACATCGTACGAAGTTAATGTACCATCCTCCTGTATATATTTCCGAGCATGAAGTGAATTTACAACTAAATGGGTAAGTTTCTTATTAATAATATTTTTCGTATTTCTCAAATAATCAAATCCTTCGCGTCCTTTAACGCGATTATTTATTATTAAATATCGTTCGTTGAATTCTGTTCGGACACAGAATTATTTCAATTAAAATGTACTTAAATTTTACGCACTTCGACGGTGTTACTTAATGTTAATCTCCACATACGTATAAGGTACATATATATAAGGTACACCAGAAAATTAAAACAGCTGTCACGGTTGAACTACTTATTATTTCGGGTCCGAAAAATTAGTAAATATTCTTCAGACATTCTGAAATACGGAGACCAATACGTGACTTAAGGTCGCGTGAAGGTCATATTACTATACGTCATTGGATTCGTCTTGATCTTACTGTTAGCTATTATGATACAATGATAGAAATATGTAAACTCATTTTATAAAATATCGACGACTTCGATATCTCGAAAAATATTGAGCATCGTCAATGATGAGGGAGATATACGTTCCGAAAATGTGGATATGACTTCGGGAATAGATTCAGTTCGCTAAAATAAGAAAGAAGTCCATATGAACATACAGTCAATGTAGAAAGTATTCGTACACTAAATTTCAGATTTTTGTCAAATTGTTGATATTTGATACATAATTATATTTGATATATAATTGATATTATATATCAAATGAATATATATCAAACATATATTATTATTAAATTACTATTATATATCATATATTGATTATATTTGATATTTGATATATAATTGTTGATTATTTCGTAAAAACGAGTTATACCATAATAAATCTGGCCTTAATTTAAGTTTACATTATGCAAAAACACGTTACAGGAAAATCTACTTACGCATAGCGTAAGCTTTGCGTAAGCTTCAAGCTTTAAAATGAGTGCAATTGACAATTTGTCAAAAATCGGAAATAGTACAAAGACTTTTTACACTGACTGCATGTCCAACAACCTTGTTTCCGAATTATAGTTGTACTTGTCTTCCAGTAATTCTTATGACTGTGTTGACTGCTTCATTTCATTTTTTACAACTTCTTATCTAAACTCCTCCTTTCTAAACACTATGAGATGAGTGAGAAGATCGATACGATATTACTTGTTTATATGAACTCTCTTTCTTATTTTAGCCCACTATATCTCTCCCTGGAA